CCCCAAAACCCCAAAACCCCAAAACCCCATGATTACTTTTTGACAAAAATTTTCAAATAAGTAATTTAATTGATTGATAGAATTCAAGTCATTTTCAGTAATTTTCGTTAAAATTTTTCAAACTCATTTTTCTTTTAGTGAGGTTGCTAGCCATCATAATGCCTTCCTGTTCTAGCCTCTTTTTACTTCTTGGAGTCATGATTTTGCCCTTTACTGCAATATCAACTAAAGTCTTCTTCACCTCATCTGTTTCTTTGATTTTCAGGACGTAAGCCTCCCTATGATAAGTTAAAATCTTTATAAAAATATTACAATTTCCTTTTTTGAATAACTGACTCACTCTCCTTGATATGCTTCATAAACTCATCGTTTTCTCTTTCTTTATTCAGGATTTGCAGCTTCTTCTGATCTTAAAGTCTTCTCTATCTATCTCTCAGTTTCTTGATATCCTCTTCTCTCAACCTTCTCAATTCATTTCTTAACATGAATTCGTGTTCTTATTCTCGCTTAAATTCTTCTTATAACTCTTCTGCTTCTCTTTACCTTTACTAAATTTAGCTCATTTTCATTTTTTACTCCATGAATTCTTCCTTTCTATTCTTTTGATTAAGAGTAACTTTAGCTGCCTTTTACGACTTCATGTTATCATACAGATTACTCATCTCTTTATGTGCATTTTAAAGTCTCTTTTTTACTCTATTCTCATAATCTTAATAGTCTTATTTTTCCTTCTTCTCCAACTCTTCTTGCTAATTCTTATATTAGATTAATTTGTTGCGCACTATTTCATTCTTTGCTCTAGCCTCGCTCTATACTCGTTTGATGTTATTATTGTGTATCATTTGAGATCTATTCAGCCTTTAATCAATTGACTCTAATCTATATTCTAATGACTACATTTCTTGATATTCTTATTCCTGTTTCATTTCCTGAATAAGTCTTAGCCTTTCTTGAAACTCCTATTCTCTTTTCATAACTTAAAGTCTTTTTTCTTAATCTTATATCTATTTTAGCTATGACCCACTAATCGATGCGTTTTACTTCTCATACTCCCTAAGAATTGAATATTCCTACTCTTTTGAAATATTCATTGCTCTATGCTAAGCTTCAAATATTCGTTTTTCATTTTTCAATCTTTTATCAACACTAATGTGCCTGATTTTAGCATTCACCTTATCCTCTGCTTTTTTAAGTCTCTCCTCGTACTCATCCAATTTCTGCTTTTTCTTCTTCTAATCATCTAATTCTTTCTGAATTTTGAAAATTTTCTAAGATTTATCCCTTTCAATTTTCGCTAATTCCATTTATATCTTTTATTCAACTATAGGATGAGCTCTATAAGTTTTTGAATTTCTCAAATTATCATTAAAGGTAGTTCCCATAGTTTTACTCATTATATTATTCTCTATGTAGCGACTGGAATAGTTACCAGAGATTACGCTTGAGGATTAAATATCTTTGAATGCTGTTTTTGTAAGTAAAAACTTAAGGTTATGAGGACTTTAAGCTGACTATGTTGTTGAGATTGCCCGATGAGTCAATACTGATTAGGATTTAGCCATATTTTCTTTAAATCCAGATAATGCTTTTTTGGTCTCTCCACCAAGCATGATGACTTCAGTTGGAAATATTGAAGTTGAAAGTCCAGCAGCTGTTGAAGTTGTTGCTAAGAAGTGACTTTGATTTACTATAGGTTGGTTGAAGGACTTATTAGGCCCTTAATTTTAAGGCTAAATTTAAAGTTGGCCTAGAGATGCAGATTTAGCAATCATTTTCTAATCCAGAATCTCCTTTTGCATTTATTTTATTTCTATGAATGTCATTATGTAAATTAAACCTTACTAATATTTCAACGCTCTTGAAGCACTCGATTTAACGTATCTATCAATCTTGATTAGAAATGCTTAAATCTCAAATCAATTAGATCCTACTCGACTCCCTTCAAGTAAAACTCTTCCTTACTCCTATAGTAAATTGATTCTTAAAATAATATACTTTTTTTGACATTCTTCTATAGACACTCCTAGATTATTACAAGCTAATACAAACCTAGGAGATTCAAGATCTAGTTAGACTCTATCAAGCATTCTGTAACTCTTGATATCCTTAATGTCGTTTTTACTTCTCTTTGTTATATTATTAATGCCTTGCCCACTAACATCGTTCTCATTATTAAAAGAGGAACCGTAAACATTCATTTTCGATTCTTTATGAATACGATTTACAGCTAATTCTTAGATGGTTTCCATTAAACTTAAATTAAAATTATAAAGCTATTAAAGATTTAATAAAAATTAATACTCCTAATCATCTCAATGAATAATTCAATAGTTAGTTACGTTCAATTTTATTGCTGAATATCCATAATTCTGACGCAGGAATCTGCAGAACCAAACGCGAAGCCATTTTTAGTCTTGTTGACGTCCATGCAAAGAATGCTTCTTTCCATATCACTGATAATAGAGATTATATTTCCAGATTCATAGTCGAATATTCTGACTTGATTTTTTCCAGCTCCTCCTGCCAATATAAGATCTTGAGTTTTATTGAACATAGTAGCGTATAGTAGTGGAGCAGTCTTTGGTCTGAACTGCTGCATTCTCACAGATTCTTCCGGCTCTCTTTAGGCGATACCCATTCCATCTGGACCATCCCATTCGTAGGTTCTGACACATTTAAACTTTCTCAGATCAAAGAGCTAGATAGCATCATCTTATCTGTAGCTACCTGCCAATAGAGTATATCCATCATTTCTGAAGTCAAGAGAATCACCACAGATATGAGGTCCATAAATACTTTCAACTGGTCCTTTCTATCTGATATCATAAATCTAAAGAGTATTATCCCATCCTCCACTAACAACCATATCTCTCTGGATTGGATTGAACTTCACACAGAATACTCTATTGGAATGGCCTGGAAGGTCACCTCTTTCTTTCATTGTCACAGCCAGCGATTTTGTTGTTTCATCGTAGATTCTGACATGACAGTCTCTTCCTGCAGCTGCTAGTAAAGTACCTTCAGGGTTAAAGTCTAGACAATATAGATGATTGTCTGGGTTATCTAATCTAGAGTGAAGACATTTACCAGAAGTTGAATGCCAATGCTTTAAGCTACCGTCAGCTTGTGCAGTAACTAAGACGTTCATAGTTTTGAGTTATGCTGATTGAGGTCTCCACTTCAAAGCAGTAATTGGCATATCATCAATAGATCCAGCAAGTTGAAGCGAACCTGATAATTAGAATGAAAGCTTTCCAGTTTGCAAGTTATAGATCCTTGCTACACCATCTCCATACCCACAAGCAATATACTTATCTTCAGGGTCGAACTTGGCGCAAAACACCTCAGATTATGAGTCACCTAATGTCATTTGATGGACCACTTTTCTTTGATATTAACTTCCGTTCATAATTCTTGAGGTTAGCTAAGATTTAGATTAAGTTGACTGTGTTGATGGTCTTTCAGTATAATCTGTCTCGGTTTCTGAAATCATTTTTAAATCTAAGAGTAAATTAAGTAAAAGAAGGGAGATAGGTTACTTAGAAATTCTTAGAAGTTTGATACCTTATTTAATTTGAATTTATAATTTCTAATTAAATCCATCTTTTAAATACTTAATCATAGCTTAATAACTTCAAACTTTATAATGTAGGTAATTTGACAAAAATTTTAGATCAGATAATTGAAATTTCAATACTAGTTGTAGTTATTCTCTTATGAATTTCTAATGCATGTAGGGCAAGCTTACTACAGTCTCCTTGGACTAGGATATGAATCCTGATTCATAACTCTCCATTAAACGAGACAATTCTTATGATACATATGATTACAACCCTGAATTTTAATAATATTGCTAATAAGTCTGATAGTGCAAATTGAGCATCTCAAAGCATAGTTAGAAGAGCTTTCGCTTCCTGTTTGAGATAGATTACTGTTAAGGGATAAACCATTCCTGTTTAGCCCACTTTAATTTCTTTGGTTAGGACTATATCCTCGTATTTGCCTCTAATCAATAAATGTAAAAGTACTCGGATTAGATCTATTGTTAACTGAAGTTCTTGCTGCAGGGTTACTCATTGTAGTACCTGGTTGATTACCTGGGGAAAATATTGATATACCTCTAATGCCATTAATAATATTTCGTCCAATACCAATGCCAGACCTGATTTGGGAACTGTTTGATCGACTGCTTTAATTGCTTCTATGACTTCTACTTGGTCTGATAGATTACCTTACTCCTTCTCTCCTTTGAGGATTTCTCCCTGACAGCTAAGAATTTCTTGATGAATTGAAACTCTCACGTATACTTCTTATGCCATTATGCATTCTCTAGTCGGATGACAAATTTAACTCTATTTGACTATTATCCATCATATTGATATCAGAAACTGAATTATTGATTAGATTCTAGTTGCTATTCAATGCATTTACGATACCTGTCACTGCTTGACCATTGGCATTTTCAATTATCCTTTGACTTTATTACGAAGCATCAATACTTTTATTTTTTAATTTGAGATAGTTTTCATGCTGCTCAACTAAGTATAAATGAGATATCTTTTTTATCTGGACTTAGAGGACCTTCATGAAATAATATGCCATCATCAATATTGCAATAATTTCAGTTAAAAATCCAAGAACCAAAGAAATGGTCAAAATTATATACTAAAGGAAAAAATTTTGCTTGAATAAATCTTGATTTGTTTAACTTGCATAAAGAGTCATTCCAATCATAGAAGTAACATAGAGTAAAAATAAAATTGCAATAAGGGAGATCTTCATAGCTTCCAGTTGAATTTTGCAGAACAATAACCGAAGTCCAGCTGCTATCAAAATAGAATTTACTGGAATGACGAATACTGAATTTGCAGATACTTCCCATAAAGAGAAACTAAAACTACCAAGGCTTGGAATAGTGTTATTCTTATTCTGGGTAGAAGTAGTCTAATAAGTCTGATTTCCATATGTGAATGTATAATTGAATTAAGGTATTTTGGTAGAGCTGTCTGTACTATCATCTATTTATATGGTAGAGTCTTATATAAGAATGATCTCTCCAATTATTATCAATAGTATTATGATGTCCAGAATGATTACAGCAGGAGCATGATGGCAACAACATTTTCTAAATTTTTTGCCAAAGCTTGCCTATCTTCGATTTTATTGAGCTGGTTATGCATCCTCATTTGCATTATTTAATTGTTCTCCCTCCATCTCTCTTCAACTGTTCATTTGCCTCTCAAATCTAAACTGCCTATCATCAACACTGCTGTAAAACTAAGAACTATCTTAGCTTTGTTGATTAATTTATCTTCTAATCATATTTCTAGCGTTCATTATAAAATATTTAAATGATGAAAAGATGTACATCTAATAAATTAAATTCGATTTCTTGTATCAAATTAGCTAATTATGATTAATTAAAGTTATTCGTGTTTAGGGGTTTTGGGGTTTTGGGGTTTTTGGGG